TATAATATTATTATTTCAAGTAGTCACATTTTACATTCATGCATTTGGCAGATGCTTTTATTCAAAGCGACTTATGCTGCATTTTTCAGTGAGCAGTGAGCTCATATTGACATTGATATGTCTCCAATGATGTTTACTTTTGCATACATTTCCATGAAATACCAAGTTGATTCTTGCAGAAACATTTAACTTGGCATTCTATTATTATTTCATAGATGAAATATTCTGAAGAGAGACAGTGACCATCAACTTCAAGCGTAGCAGAAAGAGTAAATGGCAAAGTGCCAGAAATTAGACAGTTGTGGCATACATCATATTTCTTTTTCAGATTATAAATTATTTGATTTGTTTGGCTCCTGTGTGCCGAGAAATCCATCAAAATTGTGTAATTATATGAGAGCAAGATTATTTGATGAATGGAAAGTTCAAAAGACGCATGTATTTTACATTACATTATAATTGTCTTTACTGCCACATTTGATCAATTTAATGCGATCTTGCTGAATAAAAGTATTAATTTCTTTTTTTTTTTTTTTGATTGGTATTTATTAATTTGTCATAAAATAAGGTCCTAATCAGTTGTTGTGATCATGTCTGACTGCAGTGTGCTGAGTATGTGAAATTTATTAAACGATCCAGAATTATTGATTATGAGTCTATTTAGCTGCATGAGAGCAGAATCTCTCAAACGGTGCATGCTTGTTTAACCCTGGTTTATCTCTTACACTTGGAACAAAGAAAGGACAAGAACATACTTTGATAAGCATCTTGACTTAATGTGCAAACTAGATATCCATTTATGCCTTCCCTTATACACTGTGGACTCAACTAGAAAAAAGTCCCAAAGCTCAACGGTACAGTTACTGTAATGTAATATCCTGCTTAACCAGGGCCTGTTGTCATTTAATGGCTCTAAATGGACTGTTATTCTCATTCACAATGAGGAATAATGTGTATAGCTAGTGTTTAGAAGTTAGACTTCCCTGTAAAGTGGTTGTGATCTCTGGGCCAAGAATGTACACGAGGGGCACGTGATTGTGCATTGGAGTAGAAATAAGATTCTGCATGTCAGATGACCTACAGTAACCCATCTTGCCCTTTAAAAACAAATGTTCTGAATGATACGCCAACCAAGCAGCCCTAAAATAGCATATACACCTCTCAGCAGTGCTTGTAAAAAGTGCCTGTTTTATTATTTATTTCAGCCTGTTGACAAACAGAAATAGTTTCTTTTAGCCTGTAGAACAAAAAGGACTGGCAGGAGAAATCCTCCGATAACACAGTCCTAAATCTTGAAAAAGAAAAAGAAAAAAAAGCCTAATAATATTATTACCTAATTTGATGATGCTGAGCACAAAAATATCAGTCAAAATTTCCATCATGTGCAGTGTTTTTTGTTCCAGAAAATGATGATTGTTCAAATAATAATCAGCTAGAATGCACTTTAAAGCAACTGTATGTAGTCTTGTGTGTGTGTGTGTGTTTTATTTTTTTTTTGCGGAATTTCATACCCACTCATCTAGAACAGACGTTTGTGGGAAAGTGATAAAGAAACATAAGTATATGCCATCAGAATGATTTTAAGACTAATATTAGGTAAAACAAAACAAAAAAACGTCAAATGTCAATATTTTGGTTTTAATGACAAAAAGGTGTTATCAAAATGCATAATTTAACTTACAATCTGACAAAGAGTGGGGAAATATGTTCAATTGCTCCATTTAATGAATTTCACATAAGTTTTTCTCCCCACAAAATCTGTAATTTTCTGTTGCTGTTCGTACAGTATTCTAACTTTTCTTCTCTGAATTCTGAGTTTACATCTTGCAGTTATGTTTTTTTTGCCACTGAATTCAAAATAAAAAAGGAAATTGAGACGTTTTATCTCACAATTTGCAGTTGTTCATTTATATCTCACAATTCTGAAGAAAAGACAGAATTTTTCAGAAAACAATTATGAGATGAACTCAGAATTGCAAGAAAAAACTCAACTAAAGAATAAAAAAAATCACAATTACTTTGGTTTTATTTTTTAATCCCGTGGCAGAAACAAGCTTCCATATAATTCTAACCTTTAAATATAAGATTAGGCATAAAATAATGTCTTCAGAATCATTCATTCATATAAAAATCACCTGGGAAATGGAACAAATAGTTGTAATGGCTCAGAAGAAGACAGGAATCATGTCTTTATTGCAGTTTTTCTGGTGAGTATAATAGGGGACAACAAGACTTCTCCTTACAAATAGTTGTCAAAAGTAAAATTGCTAACAAATGATGGGACAGAGTAAAACAGCCACTGTTTTTGGAATCAACACCCCCAAATTAGTAAGAAACAAGTATTGGATTCCATTCACCAAATATGCAGGGCAGCATAATGAGTAAATTCTGGAAGCTGGGAATAGGCCTACTATATTTGAAGTATACCCCACTGGACTAGTAATACAAAATAACAACACTTCTATACTCATATCCCAGAATTCAGTAATCTTCCTGAGTATAATGATGAAAGCTTGTCTTTGCGTTAGACGATGGGTGCGGCCATGCGGGATTATATTAGACCTGTTATATGGATAAAAAGCTTGTTATGGTAGAATTAAAATAATCCTTTCAGTAGATCAGGACAGCATGACTGACGGAAATAAGGTGGAATGCGAGCTTTGATTCGCTACGGCTCAGGAGAGATGATGCTATTTTGGTGATCTCAGAGGAGGATCTGAAGGGTGCTGAAGCTTTTTGATGTCATATTGTGGCAAAGAAGGCAAATTAAAATATACACAACACTTGGATAAAAATAGAAGTGTCAGAGTTACTGAAGTAATAGTTTGTTTACGCATGTTAGGATAGAATTGGTTTGAGTGCAAAGAATTTGTAATAATTACCTGAGAGGAAGAGGACAAACAACAAAACAGCTTTTATTTCTTGCAGATTAGGTTATTGGGTCAAATGCTATTTTTAAACAGCATTTTCAGCGTCAATACATTGCCTCAAGCAGATCGACTCTAAATTTATTACACCTTTGTACTACACCAATGGCTCACTATAGGGGGCCTCAGTAAACGAAAGATGTTTTAAAGGATTAAAAAGAAAATCATTGCTGCAAACAAACCAAATGTATTTTTTTTCCACTATTCAGAGATACCTACTAATTTCTACATCTATATATAATTTCCATTTCATTATTATTAATAAGAATAAGAATTGTGTATGTATGTATATATATATATATATATATATATACACACACACACACACACAAAATATTGTTTTGGTCAGTAAGTTTTTTTTTTGTTTTTAAGAAAAATAGTTTTATTCAGCAAGGATGTACCTATTAAATTGATCAAATGTGGCTGTAAAGACATTTGTAATAATAATAATAATAATAATAATTAAAAAAAATTCGGATAAATACTGTACTTTTGATCTTTCTATTCATCAAAGAGTCCTGAAAAAAATGTATAACGGATTTCACAAAATTATTACATTTTGAAAAACTGTTTTCAACATTGCTAATAAAAAATATTTCCACCAAATCAGCATATTAGAATGATTTCTGAAGGATCATGTGACACTGAAGACTAGTAATGAATTCATGGCTGCTGAAAATTCAGCTTTACCATCACAGGAATAAATTACATTTTTAAAATATATTAAAATAGAAAACAGTTATTTTAAATTATAATAATATTTCACAATGTTACTGTTTTTTACTGCATGTTTGTATAATATAATAAATGCAGCCTTGGTGAGACTTTTTTCAAAAACATTAATAAATCTATATATATACAGTAATATTATATTAAATTATACTGTATTAGCTTGGCAGACAGTCTGAAAGAAAACAGCAACTTCCAGCTTAAATAATGCACAAATAAAGAGTCTAATCGATGTTTATTTGTTTATATCATGCAATAAATGCCTATTATTTCCACCTTTTATTAGAGGTTCAGTGCCTTGAAAGCCCATAATATAGAGGTACTAGTTGCGAGTCCCACACACGTCATGCAGTGGTGTCAGCATGCAGCATGTCTGGTGCTTGTGAAAGCAAAGCATAAATATTGTTATCTCACACCCAAGGGCCTCTGGGTGCCCCCAGGGGCCCCTGCTACATCTCAGCTCTGGCATGGCGGTGGGCTCTTTTGACTTTGGCTAGGGTACCCAAGGAGGCTCCCAGGAGCCCAAAGCCGATGTGTTTTGCATCAGCGAGCGCCATATTCTTGAGAAAATCTGACTGTGTAGTTGGTTTTGCTGTTGATTGAGCTTGCAGTGAGACTGCATTTTTATTTGTTGGGAATAACAGTCAAAGACTCTCTCGAATCACGTATTAATGACTTAAAGTGCCATTGGTTTGACCAGACAAGACAGCAGAGGCACAGCACAAAAACGACCAGCCTGTGTGCGGTGTGGACAGCAAGTGTCCACGTCCCTCCGATCGTTTGCTGAGTCAGGAAGCACCCACTCGCGCTGCTCTCTTTTGTTTTCCTCTATATTCTTATCTCATTGACCCATGAGCTTTGACGTTATGCTCAAGTGACGTCTGGTTTCAGAGCTCAGATCCTGCCATGCGTCCCGGGAAGCGCCGGATCCCTGTTTTCGGTGGAGTATGAACTTGTTTCCTCTACCGCAGGATCCACTGGATCGTTTCTGCCTGGATTTGTGTGTTTACAGTCCCGTGATAGACCAATACTATGATAACATGTATACACACAAATATTGCATTATAACATGCATTGACATACAAAATGTGCTATAGTAATAATTACGATATAACTTCAACAATTATAGGCTATCAAAATATATACAGAGTTAACAGTCCAAAATGGGATAATATAATGCATTTAGGGCTCTTAACTGCAAATGTCTTTGTATTTTGTCCTGGGCACTGAATATGAAAATTGGCTTTAAAAAATTTGAATATTTTACCATAAAAATGTTTTGTCTTACTTACTATATCCTATTAAATTAGATTTTTTTCATTTGCTTTTTTAAATAATTATTGAGACTGATGTGAAACCCCGCCGCTGAAGTACGTGCTCCCCGAGCCTTGATCCAGCGGGCGGTTGTTGTGATCATGTAAGTATGCATATGATTCTTCCTTTGCCATGACCGAAGCCCCTATAGCGCAAAATTGACAGTTATGCTACAGTACCATGACATAAATATCAATGCACTAACTGTTACTGGGCATTGACACATTGACATTTGCACGCATGCATAGGCTGCGTGTGCAATAATAGTAACAACAATAATGATATAAGGGCTCTTAACTGCAAATGTCTTTGTATTTTGTCCTGGGCACTGAATATGAAAATTGGCTTTAAAAAATTAGAATATTTTACCATAAAAATGTTTTGTCTTACTTACTATATCCTATTAAATTAGATTTTTTTCATTTGCTTTTTTAAATAATTATTTTTAACAGTGTGTATATATATATATATATATATATATATATATATATAGTATATGGTATATTACCAGTGAGGTAACTTACAGTTAACAGGTTTTTATATTATATATAGATTTGTCAGCTGTGGTTGCTAGAAATTCACAGTAAAATACTGCCTGTATATTTTTCACTGATAACTGTGTATTTCATTAAGTGATATAATGTTAATATACAAATCTACTTGAACTAACAAAAAACTGAACTGCGAAGGTAATTCATTGTTTTTACTTGCAAAAAAACACAAGTTTGACAGTATTTTACTGTAAAATGACACATTTTGCAGTGTTGAACCAGTTACAGTACTTCACTGTATATGGAAGAGTAACTTACAGTTAAGCAATTAACAGGTTTTTAACTGTTGCATTTTTAAAAAAAAATGTTCTTCCATAAAAATTACAAACATTTTTACAGTGCAGAGAGAGTTGAGGACTGTGTGTAAATGCTGTGAGCTGTGATTGCTTATATAAAGACAATCGGTTGGATTGTAATTGTAAACCGCTAAAGGCTTTTCTATGTCCCACAGGTCTGTCCACATAGTGGCCCTGGGTAGCGAGTGTCCTGGGGGCGTCGGGCCTGGGGACGAGACGACCGGCCCGGGACAGATCCAAGGTGGCTTGTTGTGGAGTTACCTGGGCCACGGAGCTCGGGAATTGGATCCAAACTCGGTGACGCCATCAAGGCATCCCTTGAACCCTGCATTTATGGAGTACCAGTCTAGAGTGTTCGGGGATGTCAGAGTGATGGTGCGGGATTGTCCCAGTTGGGTGAGTAACAGAGTGAATGAGAGAGGGATGATGGGATTCTAAAGCAGGATTAGGGTTTCTGCAGACTCAGGGAAGGGAGTTGTTTCCACCTGATTGGTGGACTAAGAGGAATTTTGCTATGGCAGTGATATCAGCTGATTGGTGGAACAGATGCTGAGCTACTGAGGTATGCCCTTATAAACATCACAGGTTAAAACCTTCGTTTTAATCGCAGGACCTTTCGGACAGCGACTGGGCGAGCATCCGGAGCGTTCTGGAGCAGGCCGACATCGTGGTCATTAAGTACTCGGTCAATGACAAACTGGCCTTTCAGCAGGTCCGAAACGTCTACGCCCCAAGACTTCGCCCTCTTCTTCGACACTGGGGTGTTCCTGTGATTCTGGTAGCCGTGGGGGCGAGGCTAAATGGTGAGATGCGATTGGCTGTTTCTGTAGAGTTCATTTGAGGTATTTTTCTCCATTACGAAGTTTTAAAGAAAAATAAATGTCTGTCAGCCTTTTGTAGTGCAGACTTGGGAGATAATGGACTTAATGGAAACAATTTAACTAAACTCTGGTTAAAAATTGCCTGATGGTTTTGCTTATGGAATGTGTGCTTAAGTACTGTAAGCAGAGCAAATAATGTCAAGTACTAATGATAATTAGGATTATGCATAATTTAATCTTAATTACCTCATGTCAATCAAGGCATTAGACAGTAAAATTGACTTTTAAACTTTCCTGAAATGACAAAGAGCAAAATTCACGTAATTGAAATAAATGAAACAAATGGAACTGTGGTGTTGAACTAGTTACCCATTACTGATCTTCAAAAGCAACACAGCATATGAAAAGCTTCTGACTTCAAGGGAAAAGAAGAAGTCTGATCGAGCCGAGATTTGGAGTTCTTTTGATGTGCTGAATGCGGTTGCGCCGTAAGCGTTTGTTGAATATGCTCATAGGTAAACATTTATAGACTCAAAGCACTTAGACCACAGATTTGGCTCCATTCGCTATAAAAGCGGCAGCTCTGTGCTCACAGTGTGACCTTTGAGATGTATAATTCATCAAGATGTGATTCCATCCAGCTACATCATTTATCCCTGAAGGATAATGGAGGAGAAACGAACATGATGGGTTTGTTTAAGACTTGCGGAAGGTTCTTGAGCAGGTTGGGGTTCGCAGGTTTGAAGAAAAACTACTAATTAATTCAATCATAAAAATGTAAAATTTAAATAAGTCATTTATAAAAAAAATCCTACTAAAATACATATATTTTATTTGTTTTTATTTGAAATATTTTGTTCATTTGCATGTGGTTATTAGAGAATGGCGAACATGTGAATGTGTTGTTAAATTACTGAAAAATTTTGCTAAATTCTTAGGTGTCATCTCAAGTAAAAAATTGATGTCAAAGGGAGTCAGCTAACAAAAAACTGGGAATCCCTGCTGTAAACTGTAAATCCCTGCATTCAGTAACTTGGAAATGTAATATGGCACAAACAGCGTAGAATGAGTTATTCACACAGTTTAATGGAATAGTCTACTCAAATTTAATATTCTGTCATCATTTACTCAACCTCATGTCATTCCAAACCTGCATTACTGTCTGCAGCTTCCATACAGTACATACATTCAAAAAATTAGTTTATAATCGGACTGATGACTCAGTTGGACTGAAAAGCCATTATATAAACACCTCATTCGATCTGATTGTTAATTGTTCAATTTTGATTGAAAGAGGTAAAAAAAAACACTATGCACGTAAACGTTTGAATCTTTTCTCAAATGGATTCAAAAGTACCTATGCTGCTCGCATGTTACCATCTGGTTTAACATAATCAAATATGTGAATCGGACTGTAATGTTTAGGGTTCATATAAACAGAATTTGTTAAGAACCTGAAATCAGACTGGATTCATGCAGACTGACAAAACATAAAAATACCTTGAGATGTCATTGAAAAATACAATGAAAGTCAGTGGGCTCCAATGGATATATTATTTTGAGTTGTACAGAAGACATACAGATTTGAAATGATATGAGGGTGAGTAAATAATGACAGAATTTACATTTTTGGCTGAACGACCCCTTTAGGATATACACTCAAGGGTTTGTTTATAATTAGTTTATAATCGGACTGATGACTCAGTTGGACTGAAAAGCCATTATATAAACACCTCATTCGATCTGATTGTTAATTGTTCAATTTTGATTGAAAGAGGTAAAAAAAAACACTATGCACGTAAACGTTTGAATCTTTTCTCAAATGGATTCAAAAGTACCTATGCTGCTCGCATGTTACCATCTGGTTTAACATAATCAAATATGTGAATCGGACTGTAATGTTTAGGGTTCATATAAACAGAATTTGTTAAGAACCTGAAATCAGACTGGATTCATGCAGACTGACAAAACATATAAAAATACCTTGAGATGTCATTGAAAAATACAATGAAAGTCAGTGGGCTCCAATGGATATCTTATTTTGAGTTGTACAGAAGACATACAGATTTGAAATGATATGAGGGTGAGTAAATAATGACAGAATTTACATTTTTGGCTGAACGACCCCTTTAGGATATACACTCAAGGGTTTGTTTATTTCTAATACTCCTAAGTATGAGCAATAATGCTGTTCATGCTAATGAGTTTGTGTCATGAGAATTGTGCTGTATTTCCTGTTGCTTTGCCTGGAGAGACCCAAGGCAAAATGAGAGTGTAAACATGGTCAAAACATGCTCACACATACTCATACAGTACATCTTTTTCCATTTCTCCGGGCTTTTTCTTTTATTGGCTACAGTGATTCATTCCTCTTCCTGCCTGTGCCCTCTTCACGTCTCTTTCTTCCACTTGTCCATTCTCACTCAATCTATCTCTCTCTCCATTTAGCTGTCTTTTCTTGCTATCATTTTACGTGCTCTTCTGTTCCCTGAGGCATTCGCCCTACTGGCCGGGCCAGCTCCTCCTAACACACACACATACACACATTGTTTTCATCCAGCTATCCCTGCTCTCTCATTCTGTCACTGCCACTCTCTCTCTGCCCGTCCGCACACACACGTACTGCTGTTTAAATTTACGCTGGTATAAACTTGAGCTGGCATGCATTGTTATGTAATAAAGGTTCAGATTTTGTTGCTCCATATGTCTGCCTGTTGACATCTCTCTGAATGTTATGTACTCTCTGTCAGTATGAGTCATGCTTTATTTGGCCCCTTGCTCTACAAATGTCATTTGTATGTGCATCAGTAATACGTTTGCATATGCATATACACTTAAAAATTGGCATGTGTGGTTCCATGGAACCTTTCCATTGCACAAAAGGTTCCTTATAGTGGAAAAAAAGTTCTTGAGATTAGTAAAATGTTTTTTACAGTAAGAAAAATATGGTTCTTTTAAGAACTGTTCACTGGATGGATCAATGGATCTTCTATGGCATCACTGTGAAAAAAGCCTTTTTAAGAGTGCATCACATTTTTATTGTTTACCTCTGTCACCCTCCACAGATGAAGGCCCGCCGTGCACATGTCCTCTGTGTGCGTCCGACTGGAGCAGCTGTGTGCCCCACAGTGAGGGGCTCCAGCTGTCCAGGGACCTGGGGGCCACTTACCTGGAGCTGCCCTCTCTAAACAACTTTTTTGTGGATCGTTACTTTGGCAGTGTGGTAAGTGTCTCTTTTTCTCTTAATCATTGTTAAGAAGTCTCATTAGTATGCAGAAGAACTGTACTTGTGGTTTAGCGGTTCCGGGCTGGTAACCATAAGGTTGGAGGTTCACACCCGGTAAGGGGTAATTTATAAACTCCATGCCTCGGGTGAAATATAAAACCCATTCATCACCACTGAGACCTTGAGCCCCGGTTGCTCCAGGGAGAGTGTAATAAGTTTACTTCTATTCAGTCATTTTGGATAAAAGCGTCTGCTAAATGGCTAATTAGAATTTAAACTTTAAGAGCGTTTAAGCTCTCTTGACAGTGTCTATCACATGCAATATGGAGACAGTAATTTTCTCATCCTTAAGCTTAAACACAACCATAAAACATGTTTACAGAAATGCTCTTACAGTGGAAGTCTATAGGGCAAGGCATTCTGGAAGCAACCCTTAAAGGGTTAAATTAGTGGTAGACAAATAAAATATGGGGACAAAATATCCAATATTGGTCAATATATATCTGTAATTGGCCAATACCGATATATATCAGCCGATAACCAGTATGATTTAGGCGTACTAATGTTACTAATGCTACTAATTAAGATGTGCACAAAATTGCTGAATTAAAATCGACACTTATTTTACACAATATTTTATTGAAGTCTTTTTTATAAAAGCTGTGCTTTAATATTATTTCCTTTTTTGTTTTCTCATGATCTCAGCTTAATTTTCTTATAATCTTGGCATAACAAGTTATTTGATTTAATGTTTTCATGGTCTTCACATATCAAAAAGTTTGTTTTCTTGTGATCTCAACTTTATTTTCAAATGATCTTCACATTGCAAAAAGTTTTTTTTTGTAGTCAACTTTATTTTCATCAAAACATCCGACCCTATTTCCAACAGAAATTTCATTCTCAACTTTATCCTCTTTGGAGCACTGTACTATTGCAATGGACTAATACAATTCACTAAAAATATATGAAAACAGAAAATGTACACTATCCATTGACAAGGCTGTTTGTGGTTTTGAAACTCACACTAGGAGAAATACTTTTATTAATCAGCCAATCTTGCCCCATAGATTTCCTTTGCAAGTGTGCATAACTGTAACTGTGATTTTTATTGAAAAAATATGATGACATTTTGTTTAAAAAGTTGTCCCTTTAAAGGTATGGTGACAAGCTGTTGTAGCCCTAAAGACACAATTTTGACACATTATTTCTAAGTAGCTGCAAATATTCCACCATATTTGGTGTTGGTGTGATTTGTGGTGTACTTGGATGTTATTTACACGCTTGCCTTTGAATCTTCACACAGCTGGAATACTTCATGATTCAGTGTCTGAAGCAGAAAGCCAAAGAACGGCCAGACAAACGGCGGGGTCACAGGTTTAACGAGCCCCGTCCCCCTCATTTGGACCAACCAGGTTAGTGGCTGATGAGATTTTCCCTCATTATTATGTCAATGATGTGTCTGGTGAAGTAGACCTCCCAAAAAGATCCTCATGCATCTTTCGACTTTTCCGCTTCCCTTCAAACCCGTCTAATTTTGGCTAATCTCACTAATAACTATACTCGCGATTTGCCAGGCATCTTATCTTAATCTCTGCAAAGCGGTCGGGTTGCAAAATATGCACAAAATGGCAATATTCATCAGTAACCGAGTCAATGAACTCGTCTGCCATTTAGATAAAAGGATTGTCTGCTAAAGGCTAGAAGTATTCTGCACAAGATGAACACTGCTATGAGCACTGACACTTAGAACGAGAAGCCAAAGCTTTCTATAGTTTGTTGGTGTGGCTCCAGCACCACTTAGGCTCTTTTTATAGAGCACAGCCCATAAAATATGAAGGGTATTGAATGCTGGGAAACCGTTGGTGTGGCCCCAAATGAATGGTTATGGAGTGCATAAAGTACAGCAGTAATATATGAGAAATGTGCCTATAATACAGACATGATGAACAAACAACATCTGTTTGTTGTGCTTGTTCTATTTCTTTTTAACGCCTGGTGTTATTGTGGCCTTCCAATAATCCTCCTTGTTTGGAATTTGCTTTCACGTCACTTTTCTCGTTGCTCCCGTCTTATTACCGTATCCCTTACTCATCTCGTCTCCTCTGCTTTGCTTGTCTCATCATTCTCTTTCTCCACCTTGTTCCCTTCACACTAAAAAAAATTCCTTACCCACCATCCTCCTCTGCTTAGCTCACCTTGTTTCTCCCTTTCTCTTACCCATTTCTTTTATCTTCCTCTCCCTCACATCCTTTTGTTCTTCCAGAAGTTCTTTAACATTCCCTACAGGAAACAATAATCACAGATTAGATCTTTTTAATATCACAGTCGTTTCTCCTAGACAGCATCGAAATTAAATAGAGCAGCTGTCAGCAATATTGAACACATGCAAGGACGCATACTTTGAAAATACACTGGAAATAGAGATTTAGCATACTTGTTTCAGCATACTATGATTTGGGATTTGAGAATATCTGAATTCTAATTTGAATGTAAGGAAGTATCACTTAAATTTTTTAATAGAAATGCATAAATGTTTGAAAAAAAAAATGCACTGGAAATTATAAGGCATCCATGAAATTAGAAATTAAAACAAGAAATTAATAATTGTATTCACCAAGGATGCATTAAGTTGATCAAAAGTGTCAATAACAACATTAAATAAATAAATGTTATTTTTAAAAATGCTCTACTTTTGAACTTTTAACATTTAACATTAACCAAAGAATCCTGAAAACAATGTATCACCATTTCCACAGTTATGTATTAAGAAGCACAGCTGTTTCCAACATTGATAATAATAAGAAATGTCCATATAAATGTTTCAAATCAGCATATTAGAATGATTTCTGAAGGATCATGTGACACTGAAGACTGGAGTAATGCTTCTGAAAATTCGGTTTTGCCATCATAGGAATAAATTACATTTTAAAATATATTAAAATAGAAAAGTTATTTTAATTTGCAATAATATTTTACATTATTACTGGTTATTACAAAGTCAAATTTCAATTTGAACTCATGTTTCACTTTATTCATTTGATAGCTCTGTATTCTTACTCCATGTCAACAATTGTCTAATTTTTTGACTATTTAAAGGTATTTTAGGAGACATCTCAGCTTTGAAGTTGATACTTGATTGAGACATAACTCAGACCCACATTTAGTCTCCTGAGCTATAAAGATCAACATCTGAGCTATAAAGCTGTCCTATAACATCCCATCCATGTCTTTCAGCGCGTCTTCCCCTGGTGAGGGTGGAGGAATCTTCCTTCTCTCAGGACTTGCAGTGGCTCCTCGAACGCGGCGTTCAATTCGCAGATGTGGCGTTCTACGCCGGGGACTCTGGGAAGGAGCTGGGCTGGGCGCACGCGTCCGTTCTGTGTGCCGTCAGCCCATACTTCAGACAGCTGCTGGTGGGACGGCAGGCCTGGGAAAGGCCCGTTTCACGCTGCACCTGCAGGGACAGAGACGGCCCCCACTCGCTTTTGTCCACCTGGGATGGAGGCATAGATGATCTACCCAGAGCAGACGGACACCCTCCCGGACACCTTTCACGGCTGGTTGTGAAGGAGCCGCTGCTCTGTTTATGCCTGTGGGAGACGTTAATGTTTCTTTACAGAGGTGAGAGAGAACGTGCGCTGCTTGCAATATTACGGCTGATGTTGTTCAAGGCAACTGCTGTTGGATAAAGGGCACAATGTATTGACGTTTATGGCTTTTTTTTCTCCATAAGAAAGAAAAATCACAGATGAGAACTTTAGCAACTCAGCCGTTTTTTTTAGACAAAAAATAGATTAAACAGAGAGCAAATGGAGACCTTTACTTACGCAAAAGAATTTTCTTAAAAAAAATTAAAAAGGCACTAATAATCACATAAAACATTTGTAATATTTTTTTAAATACATTTTAAATGTTTAGTTTTTATGTATTTAATTTTTATGTATATTTAATTGCTGAGAACCTGATTCTCGAGCTGTGAATAATTATATAATAAACGTTAATATTTAAAATACATTTTAAGTATTTATTTTCTTTACTGATAACCTAATTTTCCTGAGCTATGAAAAACGCTGCCGATTATATAAAACATTTATATTTTAAATAAATGTTAAATATTTATTTGTATTTTATTTACTGAGAACCTAATTCTCTTGAGCTATGAAAAAAGATGCTATTAATCATATAACAAGTTTTAATATTTTAAATAAATTTTAAATATTTATTTAATATAAAAATATTCTAAAATGCTAGCAATCATATAAAAAATATTCTAAATACATTTTATTTGTTTTATTTGATCTTATTTATTTGACTGAAAATCCAAGTCTCCTGAGCTATGAAAGAGCAAATTTCCTCTAGGTAGAGCTTCTTTTATTGCTGGTGTGCCGGCAGCATTTCTTTTTCCATGAAGAATCCTGTCACAACCGTAAATATGAAGCGAGATTAGCATTATTGAAGGAAACAGTTTGAAAAAGCTTCCTAGTTCTGCTAGTTTAGGCGTCTCAGTTGAGATACGGTTGAAATGTTTCTCTCCCATTCACTGCCTTATCTCTTCAGCTCTGCAATTGTGTTTTCTTTTGTGTTTGAAAAGAAGGAAGTTTTATAGGACGGTTTCATAATTAAAATGGCTTTAGTTTGGAGGCTGTTTATTTGTGTCTAAGGCCTGGCTGATTTATGGTTCTCTACATGTGCATGTATGATGGCAGTCCACTCTATGAGACCCTGGAGCTGTGGGGCTGATTACCATGCATGGGAGGACAGAGAGATCTGTGTGCGTGCGTGTGTGTGTGTGTGTGTGTGTGTGTGTGACCGTATATGCATATGAGGCAACATAAGAGAGAAAAAAAGATATGATATACAATATTTGTGCCTCTATAAAACATTTTGAATTTATGATTATGGTAAGGGCTGAATTTCACAAAACCTCTCAGTAACATGTCATGTTATATTTTACCACAAAATCAAAAGAAAGCATTAAAGAATTATGTTTTGCTAAAATAAAAAGCAAGTAAATAAATAAGTAATAGTTTACCCCCAAATCAAAAGATCAAAAAAATCAAAAATTTTTTTGCTTAAATAAAATGTTGACTGTTTTTGGAACATTAAGATTTTTAGCATTGTGGCAATATTTTCATGACAGTTAACCTTTTCCTCCCAAATTCTTATTACCGTAATACAATACAATACAAACAACAATTAATAAACAAACAAACATTTTATCCTTAAAATCAATAATCTTTTGCTTAAATAAAAGGTTGACTGTTTTTGGGCCACAAAGATTTTTCTTTCTTTCTTTCTTTCTATCTGCTTTCTTGCATGCATTGTGACATTATTTTTATGGCAATTAAGTATTTAAAAAAAAATTATAATAAATTATATACCATAGACATACCATAATGCAATAAATAAATAGTTATCATTTAAACTGTAAAATATTTATATTTTATTATAGTATTTGTAACTGGCTTTATTTTATGCTGATTTAAAATGAATTGTATTATAGTAATTTACAGTACCGTATCTAAATATACAAAAAAACAAAAAAAACAACCTACAGACGCCTAACAGTAATTTTTTGTTTATATTGTCAGCTATATGGCAAACATCTCTTCTTACTATATATACACACACACACACACACAAACGCACAATGCAATTATTGCATACAATAATACTGACACCTAGTGGTTTGAAAGCAGCATCATGCAACATTTTCTGATACTGATGCTGTTGTTGAAATGCGCTATTCAAATCAGCCATGTTTAATTTATTCTGTGAGCTGAAGTACCTTATAATAATGGATAAAGCAAGTAGTATTCAGCTGGTCATGTGATCTTAACATGATGGCCCATGTAAAATGGAACAGCATTTTTAGACCTAACAAGTACCTTTAATTGCAAGTTTAACTCTTTTTAATAAGGGAAAGTCACTTTTAAATGTCATGACAATAAAGTCAGAGCATTTCCTTTATGCAAACAATGCAATTATTTTGATTTTGGGGTGAAGTGCGTCCTGGACATGCTTTTCGTGACATTCACCCAAGTACACAATTGTGATTCTATACTTGTATTAGCCCGCCACAACATTCCTCATAAGCTGGGAATATTACCTCCCGTTCCCCATTCTTTGGGACCTCTGATGCAAAATGGAGGCTGGAAGGATGGACATGCATCTCAATCAGGTGTTCAGATGAGGCTTTAACAGTCCAGGAAGCAGGAATGGATATTATAGACTCATTTATCAGAGTGAGGCCATGCTCAGAAGGTGAGAAGGTGAGCCCCATACTGATGAGATCATCTCACCCTGCTGCTGATATATAGTGTGATTTTTCCAGAGGCCATTTTCCTCCCGTGAACCAAGGGCGGTCGTTACATTAACGGAAATGATGCACGGAAACTCATTGTGCGTGGTTTCTTTCGGATCAAATGCCGCTCGGGTAGTGTCTAGACAGATTTACGAATGAGGCTGAGTTCATATTAAATCAGCTCAACCGTTACGGATGAACATTTTTATGTGACAGAACAGTGGAAACTATGTCTTTACTATGAAATAACACCAGTTAAATATTGGTTTTATTTTCTTAGCTGTCACCAAGAATACTTGATTGTTGTGGAAAACAGCTGTTCCACCACCTTATTTGTGGCTTTTTGTATCCTGGTATAGTTAATGGAGAAAAGAAAGCTGAGTTTTTAAAGCTGTAACTGAATCCACCAGCCCTGTACACTGGGTTCTTTATTGGCATTGATGGTTCCATGAAGAAACTTTAACATTCATGGAATCTTTTCCTTCCACAAAAGGTTCTTTAGATTTTCAATATGTTCTTCGCATGGTTCTTTTAAAGGAATAGTTCATCCAAAAATGAAAATTCTGTCATTAATTACTCACCCTCATGTCGTTCATTTTCAGAACCCAAATTAAGATATTTTTGATGAAATCTGAGAGCTTTCTGACCCTGCATAGACAGCAACGCAACTGACACGTTCAAGGCCCAGAAAGGTAGTAAAGACATCATTAAAATAGTTCATGTGACATCAGTGGTTCAACCTTCATTTTATGAAGCTACGAGGATACTTTTTTTGTGCACAAAGAAAACAAAAATAATGACTTCAACTATTTCTTCTGTTCAGTGTCAGTCTCAACGTGCATTGTGCATTCCTCTGCTTGTAAACAAGGCGCAGCCTATCCAGGTTCTACGTCAGAACGCCAGCTCCTTGCATCGTGGTACTCTCGTGAACACGCAGCGAAGACTGACACGGAAGAGAAGAAATGTTGAATAAATTTGTTATTTTTGTTTTCCTTTCGCACAAAAAGTATTAATTACGGTTGAATTACTGATGTCTCATGGACTATTTTACCAATGTCCTTACTACCTTTCTGGGCCTTGAGCGTGTCAGTTGCGTTGCTGTCTATGCAGGGTCAGAAAGCGCTCGGATTTCATCAAAAATATCTTCATTTGGTGTTCCGAAGATGAACAAAGGTCTAACGGGTTTGGAAGGACATGAGGGTGAGTAATTAATGACACAATTTTAATTTTTGGGTGAACTATCCCTTTAAGAACTGTACACCGAAAGGTTCTTTAAGGAGCCCAGAATGGTTCTTCTATGACATTGATTGATTTGAAAACTCCCTTTTGAAATCTTTATTTTTAAGAGTGTACCTCCACTGAGAGGTTGAACTGTTTGTTAAACTCCAGCAGATCTGAGCAGCCAGTGTAAAAGGTTGAGATTTACTCCGCGGTCAGCCGGACAGCCAGTTAATGCATGAGCAGGATGCGTTCATGGGTCAGTGCGTGCTGGTGATGTGTATTTTTTCACAGGGGCCTGGGAATGGGAATACCTGGAGGAAGCTATTGCTGAAAAACTGAAGAACCCTTTGGCCGTAGCCCAGCTGATTGACAGGATACGCTCATTCGTTGGAAGAGAAAAGGTATCCGTCTGACAGACAGGAGGCGCTCTGATTATACAACAGAACTGGACCGTGCAAAGGTTTTTTCTAATGATTTGCATGGCTGACCTGATTTCTCAAATCTAAATGCTCACAGTACTAATGGTATTCATCGCCTCAGATTGTGCACTGCAGTGTCGATTCGTTCTGGTTGCAGGCCCCCAGGGACACACCCACACCCCGCTCTCAACAAGGTCCTTTGACACTAGGAAGCCTCTTCAATTCCCCTCTATACTCTGATGTCATCTTCATGGTGCAAGGCAAGAGTCAATGCTAACCCTGCATGTGCATGAACATGTACACACACAGGCGCACACAATGGTGCATTGATTCAGACTGCTCAAAGGTGGAAAGTACAAGGGAGGTGCTTGTGTTTGAGTTAGAGCTCCTCTGTAATGCTTGACTCCTTGGGTGTAAGTGTGTTTTAAGAGGTCAGCTGTGCGTCTGCTTGCAGGAAGCGTGCTGCCAGCGCACAGAGCCGTGCTTGTGGCCCGCTGTGATGTTATGGCTGCCATGTTCAGTGGGAAATACGCAGAAGCACGAAGTCGTGTGGTGCCAATACATGGAGTCTCGTCTGATACCTTTCTAGCTTTCCTGGAGTACCTCTACACTGACACCTGCTGTCCAGGTGAGAGTGTGGTTTTCAAGGATTTTAAAGCAGTAGTGTCCAAACCTGTTCCTGGAGGGACACTATCCACCAGAGTCTAGTTTTACCCTAATTAAACACACCTGGACCAGCTAATAAAGGTCTTCCAGGCAAGTGTGTTGGAGCTGGTTGGCAGTGTTGCCAAGTCTGCGGTTTTGCCGCGGAATTGGGCTACTTTAACACTGTTGCCGCGGGTTGTTTTCATGTCTGCCGGTTTAAGCGACCTCAATAACATGATATTTAGCCCCTAAAATGCACATTTTACCAGGGGAACCCCACCAAAAAACGTGTATTTTACCCCCTCGAAACGCGATTGGGCTAGTTTTGAGTAGCAATTGGGCAGGTTTTGTTGTGAAAACCTGGCAACCCTGCTGGATGGAGAAAAACAAGAAGCAAGACTGGACAACCCTGCCTTAAAGGGATAACAATGTAAATTGTCATCACCCTCACCCTCATGTCATTCCACACCTTCTGTTGAACAAAATAAGAACTGTTCAAAACAACATCAGACCTCATTGACTTTCACTGTATGGACAAAAACAAACATTAAAAAAAAAAAAATTTTTTCTTTAGAACAAAATGAAGCTAACTATTCCTTTAAATGTTTTTATAAAATAGATAGTTCTGGTCCTGGATGCTGATTGGTCAATAAAGTGTTTCAGGTGTGCTAAAATACACTATATGATTCAGAGGACTTAACTACAATTTGAGAGAGAATTACCCAGTCTGAGTATCAAATTATGCAATAGAATGAACTAACACTAACACTAAAACTTGGAATTTTCCATGGATTTGCATGGCTGCCCTGATTTTCCCAATGACAGATGTTCACAGTACTAACAGCATTCAAGGATGAACTATCCCTTTAATTATTTTGTTTCATAAAATATTTTTTATTGAAAACATACACAACTGCTCAAAAGTTTGGGGTCGATAAGATTTTTTAAATATTTTTGAAAGAAGTCTCTTATGCTTGCCAAAGCTGCAAATATTTGATTAAAAATACAGTAAAAACAGTAATATTGTGACATATTATTACAATTTTTAAATAACTGTTTTCTATTTTAATATATTTTAATTATCATAATTTATTCCTGTGATGGCAAAGCAGCCATTACTCCTGTCATCAGTGTCACATGATCCTTCAGAAATCATTCTAATATTCTGATTTGCTGCTCAAGAAACATTTCTTGTTAGTATCAACAGTTGTGCTGCTTAAATGTTTTGTGGAAACTGTGAAACATTTTTTTTTTCAGGATTACAATAGAAAGTAGTTTAAAAGAACAAGTTTTTATTTGAAATAGAAATATTTTGTAACATTGTACATTTCTTATTTACTTTCAGTATCAGTATAATTTTTTCCAATAAATAAAATAAAATAAATGAGATCTTATTGACTCCAAACTTTTAAATGGTAAAGTTCTTAATTTTTTTTACCTGATTAGGTAACAATATTAACATTTACAATATGAAGTGAGAATAAAGGGGTTCTTCTGTATGTTGTGCCTAACAATGGCTTTTTATATTCACTGTATTGTGCAACATAGTCCATATGTTTCAATCATAATGACATGTAATGATTCAGGTTGTATTTATCATTAAACAATGAAGGAAGGTTTAGTATGTCAGATTGTTTGAATCATTCTGTCAATCAATGTGATGGATGCTTCCCCGTTCATATCAAGGACATTAAACAGCACTATTGAGAGAATAGATGCAAATAGAGACTGAGCTTGATTGACAGAGGGTGAATATGAACTGAGGTTGATGGAGGGGGAAACAGGAGGTGATTGACAGTGCTGTGTGTCTGTGTGTTCAGCCAGTGTGCTGCAGGCCATGGCTGTGCTCGTCTGCGCAGAGATGTACCAGGTGAAACGGCTGCAGCACCTGTGTGAAGTGTGTGTCTGCGCGTATCTTCAGAGTATGCCCAGTCGAGAGCTAGCATCTACGGGCATCAGTGTGATTCGCTTACTGAGGAGAGCAAAGGCGAGTCTTTACATCTCTATATCAACAGGGGTGTGTTTGATAAAGGTGTCACATCTTTGCTTTGAGAGCTTTGGACCCATAATATCACTATATTTTCACTTTAAACTAACGTAGTTCAAATATTTATACCGCATATTGCCTATTTTTAATAATAGCATGTGAACCAGTAAGCAAAGATATGTTTCAAACTGTAAAATACACTACCGTTCAAACATTTGAGGTTGAATGCTGAATTAATTTGATCAAGTATACTGTAAAAACAGTAATATTGTAAAATATTTTTTAAATGTAAAATACCCGTTTTCTGTTTTAATATATTTTTTAAAAATTCCTTTAGATGGCAAAGCTGAATTTTCAGCATCATTACTTCAGTCCTCACTGTCACATGATCCTTCAGAAATCATAATATGCTGGTTTGCTGCTTAAGAAACATTTTTTATTATTATCAATGTTAAAAACAGTTGTGCTGCTTAATAATTTTGTTGGAAACCATGTTTTTTTTTTTCAGGACTCTTTCATGAATAGAACGTTCAAAAGATTATTGTTAATCATTTTAATAATAAAAGTTTTGTCTTAAGACTGTCTAAGATTATTGTTATTTTAGCATTATTTATATACTATCGTTGTATTTATTAATATTTTTAATTCGCTGTTATTTGTATATTTTTTTTGTTTCAATTTTAGTTTCATTTTTTTAAATTAATTTTGTAATTGAGTTTTGTCATTTTTATGTGCTTTTGATGTTTTTCCCTATTATTTATATTTTGCTTTCATTTATTTTTATTTAAGTTTTAGCTATACCTCAGCTGAAACTTATTTCAGGTAGTTGCCAAAGTAATTTCTAATTTTCATCTATTATTTATATATTTTTAAATTACCGAAAATTATTTTTGATAGTTTTAGTTAACAATAACAACATTGTATACTACACATTTGATCAACTGTATTACGTCATAGGTTTTTTCCAGGCATACCAAAAATGTGCTTACAAAAATAGTACAGTAGTATACTATCCCGAAATACCATCTGTGATACATCCAACACGTTTATTAGTCTCTAACATTCTATCTGATCTCATGTTCACTCTCTATCTCTCTCATTAGTGTCACAACGCTGACCAGCTCTATGTCTGGCTCCTCCATTTCATTGCCAATAACTACCTGATCTTCAGTCACAAGCCTGACTTCCTGGAGCTATCAGGTGAGCCGTCCGCTTGACCACCTGGAAAGGATGTTCAAGCGCATAAGAACACATGCACAATCATCTCTAACTGTGACAAAAGCCAGATCCCAACGCCCTGAGAGCACTTCTAACAGCTGCTGCTGCGCACAAGCCCATGCAAATCACTACCCGCTTCTGTCAAAGCTTCATTATGGAACACTGAGAGCAACTGTAAGGTCACTTTTGAAACAAATGAATCATCATCAGACCTAATTAGTATGTCCTGCCCTTCCACACGCACTTGGCAAATAAATAAGTGCCGCCTCATGAATGGTGTATTTGTGAGTCAATGAATGGAACGAGCAAACTTTGACAGGAAAATATTTTATTTTCATTTTTTTTTAAGACTTCTAATTTTTTTTAATACACTCAATAGGAAACAAATAGAGACAATTACATTATTTTAATTGAAGAACAAGGTAAAAAAACAAATTTGGTGGACGGATATTATGCTTTGTTTAAATGCATTGGCGTTCAGCAGGAGGGAATGTTGTAGCAATATTTTCCTGTGATTCTTTTTTTTTGACAGACGAGGAGCGTGAGCAGGTGGAGCGACTGCGTTGGCCCTCCAGAGGTTACCTACAGGAGCTCAGCGAGTACCAGCAACGCAGGCGGCAGATCCGCAAGTCTCGCTGCAGCATCATGTGACCCCTTCTTGACGCCCTGCGGACCGGAAGGGAGGGCGAAAAACAGAGGATGCAAATTGGAGATTCATTTAAATACAGGATGAAAGAGACCTTTGTTTGACTCCTGGGTTGACGGTGGATTCTGATGTACTGTATTCACACAAACTTTGACCTCTGACCCTGTGATATAAAGCAGACAGCTGTGAATTCTCACTGGTGGATCCTATGCGCCGATGCTCTTCTATGTGGATAATTCTATACAAACGATTATGCCTGATTGGTGCAATAAACTTCCTCTGTGATGGATTAATCCCAAAGTATTAAACAGGGTAGGGTCGATCTTATACTCTCTCCAGAGATTGATATGTTACTCTCATGGTCAGCCATGTTATGTCATGGTGAGATTTCTTTGTTTCTGAATTCAGTGGTTACTCCAGCAATATGACTTGAATAAATTTCAAATATTTATTTTTTCCCCCCCATGAGATTAATTTGAATTTGATGCAACTATTTTTGTAACATGTACATCTGAGATTTTTATTTCAACTAATAACGTACAAAGTACGCATCCAGCATGTGGATCGCCTCTTAGTGCAGTTGGTCGATGTAGAGCCGATTCTGGCTTGCTTTAGTCTAGTCCAGTTATGTTGACCCTCATCTCATGCTGAATAAAGAAATTTTAGAAGGATGCGTGGTTGTTCTGAGAGTCTGTGGCTTTAATCGAAACCATACAAAGTCATACAATGTAGCATACAATTGTTTGAAATATTCATTATTACATAATGTCTACTGTTTAACCATATGTACTGCACAGTATTTAATTAGTGAGCTAGTATTTAATCAATTAATTTTTTTTAGTGGCATCATCTTGAATGTAACCAAAAATGGTTGCGTATTTAGCGGTTTTATCTAATTTTGTGTAAAAATGCTGAACCTGGCAGTCTAATCAACTGAATAAAGTAGATGTTAACATTCACACATGATTCATTATATTGAAAATGTGAGGTCGAGCACATTGCATCATGATGCATGTTTGCTCTGAGAGTCTTTGACTTAAATCTAAACCTGTGGTTCTCAAGGGGTGGGTCGTGACCCAAAAATGAGTCACAGGTCTGTTCTAACACAGTTGTTGATGGTGGGAAAAGCAATGATACTGAAGATGAAAACTATGTAGAGTAACAGACAACATGAGCCAGACAGGGTTATTATAGTTAACTAAAATTTTGGTACTTGAAATAAAAATAAATGTTAAAATAAAATAAACAAATATAAAAAAACACAATTTTTTTATTTCGAATATGGTTTGTGCTGACCAAAATGTGTTTTGTGGAGTGAATTACTGGCTGCTGAGAGAAAAAGCAGTTTCTTATAACACTTCATCAACATTTCTTTGTACAATACACTATTTTGGGATGATGGCCACTTGATGTCTAATGGAAAATCTGGGCCCTGAGGCTAAACCAGTTTCGAACCACTGATGTAACCGTTGTATATATTGTTTTTAAAGGGGTCATATGATGCTGCTAAAAATAACACTCTTAACTTTTATAAAGAATATCTCTTTGGATTTGAGACTTTAGTCTTTGCAACTTTACAGATCTTCTTTATGCACCAAGAGCTTGTAACACTCCAAAGAGAAAGGAAAAAATGAAATCGCATCATATGACCCCTTTAATATTTTATAAAGAAGGACTGTGTAGCATACCTTCACTGCAGAGATCCAATTGCCTGCAACATGCCCTCCAGTTTTCCAGAACGGTCCAGACCGTCGACATCACTTCCTCCTCCAATGCACTGTTCCCCTATGAAGACCCGAGGAACCTGCAAAGAATACATGGATGTAAATAAATGTAATAAATTACATGGCAAACGAATAAAGCATATGACTAACATGCAATGGGCAGGGCCAAAGCTGCTGGTCAATTGGTGACTCAGCATTTGTGTGAATAAGCGAGTAAAAACAATGTCGCCATATTTACCACCATAATAATATATAACGTTAGGCCTAATAATACTGAAAATTTACTTTAAGATAAAAAAAAAGTTTTGTTTGAAGTTAATACATTTAGTTTATATTTAGAATTCATGTAACTGTGGCAGTGTGACGCAATGACTGACGGTCTGGTCTAATATAACAAAAATGTTACCATATATATATTATATAAAACACCATTATAAGTACTCACGGTGCGCGCGCCTGTGATCTGTTGCAGATAGTCTTGTATGCTGCCCATGTCACTGCGTCCGGTGATGTCAATCAACTCTAAGTGTCCACTTTTGAATTTATACTTTGACAAAACATCCTTAGCGAGTATGCAGTAAGGGCAGGTTGGCTTCAGAAACACAACTACTTTGTCACCCTTAATTTGCGCCTTAACCAATTCTGCCATTGCTCTTAACGTAACAAGCACAGCTGTTCACGACTCCAGGGAAGTCAAAACGAAACAGCTATTTTCCTGGCTTTGTGAGTCATGTAGTTCCCGTCGGTTCACACCCTTCAAAGTAAGGCGGGATTAAAATTAACCACACCTCGGTAAAATTTAAAGGGGTCATATGACGTTGCTAAAAAGAACATTATGTTGTGCATTTGGTGTAATGCAATGTGTTTATGCGGTTTAAGGTTCAAAAAACACATTCTTTTCCATATAATGTACATTATTGTTTCTCCTCTATGCCCAAAGCTCATCGTTCTAAAAAAGCGAGGTGTGCTCTGATTGGCCAGCTATCCAGTGCGTTGTGATTGGCCGAATGCCTAAAGCGTGTGACGGAAATGTTACGTCCCTTAAAGTCCCCATGAAATCAAAATTAAAGTTTTTTGGGTGTTAGTATCAATATGTTAGTCTTAAGGTTATCTATAAGGCAGTGTGCTCCAAAACAGTGACAAAATTCGCATTTAGAAGATATAAGCATTCAAAGCTTGCAGTTCGACACTTCCGCCAAAACGGCTCAACGATTTTTTTGACGTCACATCGTACTTCAGCTTCTCATCAAACTTTCTGTCCAATCAAATGCTCTCTAGAATCCGAAGCGCCCGCCCCCTACACTATAAAATAGACGCTGAAGCCGCAGCTGAAATCGGTCACTTGTCCACAGAATTAGTATTTTCTGTACAGTGAACGGCACGTAGTGCACTATATAGGGGACAGGGAACAATTCAAACAGTGTAAATATGCTTTCCATTGAAGAAAAAAAGAAGTCTGGTTTCGCGCTGTGTCACACTAA